CCTAGCTCTTACATACTTGAAAATTGTTTATTGAATTAGACTGAAATAAAAGGTTTTCAAATATACTTTTTACTCACATCTCTACTGTGATGGTGGTAAAAAGTATTTCTTTCTGCTCCACAGAAGGTTTGAAAACATGGCTCTCAATGTATTCTCATGGGATACCTCATGGTCAGATAGGTCAACAGAAGAGGAAAGAGTAAAGAAAACATTTTCTGTTCCTCTACACCTACCTCCCAGATAGGAGTGGGGGTGAGGTGGAGCAAAGACGGAGTTGCAACATTGAATAAAATACCACTGTGAATCCAGACCAAATGTAATTCCATGTGTAAAATGATGAAGAGATTCAGGCTGAGCTGAGTTCAAGGAACTCAGGGAAGGAAAGTTAGGGACCGAGGAAAGAAAATACTTCATTTCCTCACCTATCTAGAAAAACGCCTTCATCCTGGTCCCAGGGACATAAATTGGGCAAGCTAACCAAAACAAAACAGAAAAAGGGAAAAATTAAATGATAACTGAGAAGAATAAGCCTGAAGGGGATTGAGAGAACCGTTCCTGGGTTCCCCATGGATGTCCTTCATCTCCATCGAGGGGTACTTCAATCCCCTGCTACTTCAGAACAAGCACACAAATACTCACTGTTGATCACATTTAAATTAATGCGACTTGAATGAGCTGACTTCTAATTGGGAGTGGTATAGCATTAACAATAAGAGCCACTATCTGGAGCCAGACTGCTTGAGTTCAAATCCTAGCTGGCCACTTGCTAGTTTTTCAATGTGAGACAAAGAATTTGGCCCTTTTGTGTGTTAGCTCTTCCATTTGTAAAATGCGAATAAAATTACCTATCAAAAGATTTGCATGAAGAGTAAATGCATGAATACATATTAAATGTACCCTACATAGAGTAAATAATATATAAATGTGAGATGTTATCATTCTTTTTATTGTTATTATTATTACATACCTGATAGAAACTAGTCATGCTGAGAAAAATGAGCATTTTAGTGTGAGGATATATTTTGTATGTAATTTTGATAACAGTAGCATTTTGGATTTTAAGATCATCTTGGAGTTGCCCCACAGGAGAAAGTTTAGATAGGTTGGGTAACAGGAAGTACCAGAATGTTTATAATGCAACATTAGGCAACAAAAAGTGTACTCCAGTGTGGCCTAGAATGACATAATAAAAGGAAGATGCTGTTTAATTGGTACAATATTAAAAAGGAAATAAGGGATTGAATCACAAAATAAAACTTATTACAGAATGTTCTACTTTTCTAGAAAAGGTAGGTAGTGCTTAACATTACGCAGTGTGTGTTTGTGCACATACATGTGTGTGGAGGTACACTTAGCTTTAACATGTTTTGGCACTAGGTACAGTATCACCTACTAAGGCTTGTAAGCTATGTATCAGGTTGGAGGTTAAGGCTCATGCTGGAATGATATGCCTGTGGGCAAAAGGAATTGTTTGTATTCAAATGCCTGTGTCAGAGTCCTGACCAATATAAATATGCCTTAACAAACTACTTCTAAGAATTATCAGCCATTACAATATTTATGATTTCATCATTGTCCTTTCTTTTGTCTATCTCAGGATTCATTCAACTGTTCATCCATCCATCCACCCATCAACCCGTTTTTGTTTCCCACAATGCTTTAATGGGCCTCTACTATACTTTAGGCTTCATGTTGGGTTAGGGAGGCAGGGATGAATAAGACATGGTTTCTCTGTCCTCATGCAAATTATGGTACAATCTTTAGTACTTTTGCTCAAGCTGTGTTATGACATTGAAAATCATGAAACATTGTAAACTTATTTTATGTAAATATTTAAAGTAACACAAATAAATTTCCATTAAGTTAACAAAAATGAGAATTTAAGATTTTTTTCTTGAAAAAGAGAGACCTTCTATAGGCATCTTGCTATTGCAGATATGGAACTACCTTTTAGAGTCAGCAAACTTTGGTGTCAGTCCTTGCTTATGACTCTAATGTGTATCTTGAGAAGTTTATAAAACCTCTCTGAATTTCAGTTTTCTCACATGTAAATTGATGATAATAAATACTGCCTAGAGACGTAAAGGTGTGAAGTGAGTAAATGAAGGACTCCAGCACAAGTCCTATTCTGGGTCAGAGTTGTCATATAGGTGATCTCATGTAATTGTTGCTTTAGCTTGATGTGGTAGGCTTTATTATTACCATTTTACTAGTGAGGAAACTTGGGTTCAGAGAGGAAAAGCAACACAAGTCAGAGAGCTAAGGTAAGGGAAGGACTTATCTGTCTGACTTCAAAGCTATCTGTTTTGTTTGTAACCAGATCACCTTGATAATGACATAAAAGCCTTTAATATTGTGTATTGAGATGTTGCTTATATTACTTTCATATCTCCAGTGAGTAAATTTCTTGTCATTGCCAGAGATATTTCAGAAATATATCTATGAAACTGTTGGGAATAGGAAGATATGGATAGCTTCAGTTTAATGTCTAGTAATTCTGTGATCTGGGAAACCTTTTTGTGCCTGTAAAATAGGGCAAGCATATGACCTAACTCATATGAAGATTATAAGGAATAAATGAGATAATGTGCACAAATTATTCAAATTTAATAAGTGTATAATGAATGGTAGCTGTTGAATCATCACCCACTGTGGAATCATATGCTTATCTGATCATAAATTCTTACAATCTAAGCTTAATTGGTATCAATTAAATTAAATCAATTAATTTAATTGATAATTAAAATTATCAATATTTAATTGATAATTTATAACAAGTTTAATAAGTAACTAACATGGAGATTTTCTATTTTTGTTTTAATTCTGAAGGTATAATTTTAGAATATATTAGGAAATGCTCATGGTAAATTGAAAGTTGATTGAAACAATCATCTGAAGTGAAATTAAAATATAAAACATGAAAGCTTACAAAGGACCTGCCCAGGACTATCTTTTTCTCTAAATGTGATGAGGAAGAAGAGAATTCTGATTTTTTGCATTTATTAAACAGTACTGAAAATAAAGAGCTATGGAAAAAGAGAGATGCCAGACCTCTGGGAACAGGATACGAATCTCACCCAAAGAAGTCATTTGGTATTTCAGTCTTTCATAAGAGAGATAATTGAGGTGTCCAAGTGAGCGAATCACTCAATTAACAAAGTATAGGAAAAAGTAGGTATATGGCTATTTCTAAAGGAAAATTCAAACAGAGACTCACATCGAAACAGAAAAAATCCCTGCATCGCTGCAATACAGAGAAGAAGGTAACAAAACCCATAGAGAAGAGTTCCAAGGTTCATGACAGCAGAAAGAGCAAAGATACAAATTGAATCTATTTGACAAGGCCTCCACATTGTGTTTCTTGCTAATGGAGAAGTAAGAATGGCGAGCATGACTGTAGGACATATTGTGGAATGAGTGTAGGTGAAACACAGGGTATTGTAGTAATTAAGCATCTGCTTTACCTCAATTCTTAAACCTGCTTGTTGGTGTGACCTCACACCTCCTGCAAATCCTCCAAATCCTAAACTAATATTGCATGAATCTGTCTTTAAAAAACCATAACCATTCAATGTTTCCTACTGTTTCCTTTCTCCTTCCTTCCTTTGCTCCTTCCTTCCACCCTCCCTCTCTCTTTCTCTCTCTCTTTTTCTTTCATTCTTTCTCTTCCTAACTTTCTTTCTTTTTTATCTTTTTCATTTTTTTATTTCCATTATCAAATCAGTGATATTACTACCCTCCTTCCTTCCTTCTTTCTTTTCCTTCCTTCCTTCCCTTCTTTCTTTCTTTTCCTTCCTTCCTTCCCTTCTTTCTTTCTTTTCCTTCCTTCCTTCCCTTCTTTCTTTCTTTTCCTTCCTTCCTTCCCTTCTTTCTTTCCCTCTCTCCATCCCTCCCTTCCTTTCTCTCTCTCTCTCTCTTTTTTTCTCTCACTTTGTTGCCCAGGCTGAAAGGCAGTGATGTGATCTCAGCTCACTGCAGCCTCGAACTCTCGGGTTCAAGCTATTTTCTTGCCTCCACCTCCCAAG